TTAACTCCTATAGAAAAAGCCAAATAAAATATATTGTAAATATCTTTGTAAATACCATATGAATTATAAAACATATCTTAATCCTAGCTACTGAATCTTCAGAACTCAACCTATCTCAACTTTTTTTAAAAATAAGAGAGAAAAAAAGGGAAGTGCATCTATAAACGGTGCATTGAGATTATAAAATAAAGGTACAATTAAAAAAAAAGTACTAATATTGTGAATGTACATGAGTGTGTCAAAAGTGAAGTCTCTTATTACTTAAGAAAGAGGAAGTTTAAGTTTATATAAACTATCTCACACTCTTAAAGACAATGTCTTCGGCACGACTCGAACCAATTCACTATCCGGTTGTTGCAGCCATATTCCTACAACTAATAAACATTGCATTGAACTTTTAAAACAGAGAAAATAAACTAAAATATTGCATCTCTACCCAAGCTTGGGCAAGTTACTCGCAACTTCAATTTGAGAAGATGACATGTTTCTTAAGAAGCGTTGCGGATTGAACTATGGTTTAAAAAAAAAAATTTGGCCTTTCAACATATGGCATTACTTGAGCATCTATGGCAATCTACTTCGGGCTTGTTTGCACATACTTATTTTAAGTGTTTGTAAGTACTTTCATCTAAACTCATGCATATTCATATATTTACCTCATATTTTATAAATTATTATTAAAAAACTGCTTTTAAAAACACTTACATTTAGGTCACTTTTTAGTAAGATGAAGTTGTTTTCCGGGACAATGGAAAGGAAGAGAGATGTTTTTATTTATTTTTTAATAAAAAGGTGATTTTTAAGCTAAAAATATTGTTAGGTATGAACAAATCATGCTTTTTTTCAACATTGAAAGTTTGGTAGGATATGAAGCAATTAAGAAATAAAAGTAGCCACATGAAGGCAGTTCATACTTTATACGTGGCAACTGGCAAGGATAAGGTGATGTCTTTGTAGAGATTAAGGGCATTAGACTTCAGGAAATTACGTATATATTAGGTTTTTTTCTTCACATTCTTTAATCTTTATCTAATAAAAAGAACTCACACGCCTATGGCATCCATAGAAGGTTAAAGTCGCAACGTGGTACTTTGAGAAAAGTTTAAAGGAGGTGCTTCCTATTTTTTCTTTAAAAAAAAAAATCAAGTATGGCAAGCACATTTTTCCATTAAAAAAATCTATGATATCTAACTCCTTGTTCCATCTGCTTTCCTCCATTGAGGAGGAAACACAAAACAACAAGGCATAGTGTTCATATTATGTCGGTCACTTGAAACTATAGTATATAAAATTGGATTAGATTGGCTGATTTAACCAAAAATTTAGACAATTGATATCTATTTTGATTTGGAATCAACAAAAAATAAGAAATTGCCTCCAATCCTTAATAATTGAGAGTCAAATTTGATTACTATGATCTATTTTGTCTCATATATTTAGAATTTATTATTCAAAGTACCCATATTGATTACATATGTTAAAAGAACTTTCATTTAAGAATAATTATAGTTAAAAAGTATACTTTTAAAAAATTATCTCATATTTATTATAAATAATTAACTTAACAAAGTAATTCTTGCATTAAAATGGGAGGCAGTTTAGTTAAATTCAACTAAATCGATAAAAACTAATTAATCGGTTTGAACCAGTCAATTATTTATTTTTATAAATCCGAGCTGGCCAATTTGCGGAAACATTGACTTCTATGATATTTTGAACATTCGTGTTCATAAGTAATGGACCCACTCTTGTATCATAGCAACATTTAGGGTCTGTTTGGGTCAGCAAAAAGAACTTAAATTTTAAAATAAGCAGCTTAAATTAGGTGGACCTGTTTGGCAGAGTTTAGAACTGATTGAGCTTATATATTTTTAAGCTTTCTGGATGCTCAATTGGAATAAGCTCCAAGAAAGAGCTTATCAATTAAATCAGAAAAGCTTCTCGGGTTAGCCGTTCTGCAATGTCAGAAAGGATTCTTTTTTTCCTCTCTTATCTGCATTTTCCTTCTAACTCGATCCCTTCTTTTTCACCCCTCAGTCTTCTTTTTCATCTCTTAGTCTTCTTAAAATATTTTTTATGATTTCTTTAAAATTTTAAAATTTAATTCACTCATTAAATTTGATTTCTTCATATTAAATTATTTTAATTTTATTATATTATGTGAAACCAATTTTTTATCATGTTTCATTATTTATTAAAATCCATACCCATTTTGGTAATTTTTCAGCCAAACTTATTTTTACTCAACTATAATCCAAACAAGATTTTACTAATCTCACTTTTGCAAACTAACTTTTTTGAAATCCAATCCAAACACAATTCAGCTTATCCAATTTAACTTTTACCAACTTTACTTTTCTATAAGCTACTTTTCCTATAAGCTGCTTTTCCAATCGCTGATCCAAACAGGCACTTAATTAGCGTCGACACAAGGATTGACACGTGGCATGCCTCTTAAGTGACCTAGTCAAAACACACATGCCCACACAACTGGCAGGTGAAAGTGAGAAGAAAATTTGCAATATATGCTGTGGAGCTTGTGCACTGTTTCTTACTGGAAAATCTCGAACATGATTCACATCTGGTTTGCAAAAAGGTTTGAAGGTAGCCTCAGCTCGTAGATTGAGTAAATACGATACACATTAAAAAGCCAATGTAAACCCAAGTGTTTATGATAAAACGAGATTGATCTTAAGGGAAATTGGTTAATACTTGCCAGCCCGCAGACTACAGGCCAAGTTGGCCTGTGGCGGCCTAAGCTTGTAAAATAACCTATCTTTATTGGGTTGGTAGGTTATTCATCTTTTTATTAAAAATGAATATTTTTAAATATTTTTTATTATACAATATACAAAAAAAAATATAATAAAATTTTTGTTTTTCATTCAAATATTTCAAATATAATTCTAATAAGTAATAAAACTGAAAAAAGAATAAAAGGGTGGGTTAGCCCTCCTATGGACTAACTAGTAGCGAGTTATTGACTTGGTGGTATAGGTTAAAAAGACTCTTTTATTATTGTATTGGCTTTTAGTCAGTTCTAACTCTCAGTTTAAACACATATTATTAGCTTTAAAATTATAAAATAAGAAATGGCAAGAATTTACTATATAAGATCGAGTGTATACAAGGTATATTGCTTTTAGAAATGATGATAGAATTGTTATAAAAAAAAAAAAAAAAGAAATGATGATAGAATATTTTCATATAAAGTGCCCAGATCACAAACACCCAAGTTTGATATTTAAGAAGATTGAAGTGAGTAAGTGACTATTGACAAAAACAAAGATTTGGCACACCGTTGATGAGCAGCTGAAATTGTTGGCAACCCAAAATCAAAATGCATAACAGAGTAGGGCAATTATTGACAAAAGCAGGAAATTGCTACTAGCTCCCGTCCTAATTATAAGAGCTAGTTGACTAATTTGAGGAGATTAAAGAAATAATTTAAGTTGGTTATTTGTCATAAATAGGTGTTGTTTTTCTTAAAATATCCCTGTTAATCAAGTGTATTGGCTAGAACTATCATTGTTAAAAAGACTATCTTGGAAAAAAATACATAAATATTAGAGACAAAGTGAATTTGGATCTTATATTTAGATCAAAATAAAAGTCAAATAGGGTCTTATATTAAAGACTGGAGGTAGTAATAATTTTTTTGGAAATCAAATCCTTGTTCACAAACACACCTACTTGTCGTCAACAATCCCTCAATAACAAAATGTGTGGTTATAAAACATGTAATTCTCAGCAGAATGGATTTGAAAACCAAATGCAATTGAGCGATAAAAACCCTTTTTTCCCTGAAAAAAGTTATTTTTGTTATGAATATTGCATGAGTGGATGTCCATAACCCCTAACCCTTAGAATTCTCATAGGATTCCTTACCTTCAAGTGTCATAAACTACATAACCTCTCTAATGAATGACTTGGGTAGAGTTTCTCATTGTTAATGCCATTATGATGTTCTTTATTTCTTTGTAACCTTAGTATAGGATTTCAATGCTTGGAGGCCTATAAATAGAGGGCATGCATGAGACATTTGTACCTTGAAACAAAGTGAATGAGAAAAGGCCATTGTCTTCTCTATCTCTTGCTATTCTTCATTCTTCTTATTTCTAGTAGTTTTACAACACATTATCAGCACGACTTTGCTCTGAAAATTTGAGGTATAAACCCTTCGTAAGATGATGCACTCTTCTCATCGTCTAATTATCTCCTTACTCAATCATCATAATATATATCTATGTATTGACTACATATTAACTTTATATTATCTCCTTTTTTTAATTATCATGCTTTATATTATATAATGTTACTCTATTGTTCTTTTCTTTACATTTTAATTTTTTCATTATGTTATATATTTTTATTTTTTTATTTTATGTTAACATTATGTTATTTTATTTTTCTCCTTTTTGTGCTTTATATTATGTTAACATTCTGTTTTTATTTTAAGTCATTTTATTTTGTTGTCATATTGTAAAATATTATGTTTGTTTTAAATAATTGATGTAATTTATGTATCATCTCCATTTGGTATCTATGGTGTTTTACATTATTTTATCTGTGTTGTACTAACTCTCATATACATATATATAATTCACACTGTTTATATTTTTGTTTCTATCATTATATCATTATTTCACTGTAGCATTATCTTTGTTTTTAATTTAAATTGTTATTATATATTAGTAAGTCTATTGTAATATTTATATATTTATTTATATTACTGCTTTCCCCCCTTCCCCCTATATATATTTATATACATTGTCTCTATATTATTATTGTAACTAATTATTTGTGTTGTTTATCTTTTTTTTCCTTCTCATATATGTTTATTTGTCATTATTTATTTATTCATTTATTTTGTTTATAATTTTAAAGGAATAATTTATTTATCAATGACTTTTGAATCCTAATATTTTATTTATTATGTTTCAGTGTGTATCAATTTTATTATAATTATAATTTTTGTTATTATCATGTTAGTTTGATCCATGGCTAATCTTACCAAACTCGAGTTTACGGCTCTTGATATCACTAGAAAAAATTATTTGTCTTGGGTCTTAGATGCTCAAATCCACTTAGATGCCAAAGGTCTAGGAAGTACTATTTTACTTGGAAATGAAGCAACTAGCCAAGACAAGGCTAAGGCCATGATTTTCCTACGCCACCATTTACATGAAGGGTTGAAAGCTGAATATCTGACAGTGAAAAACCCGTTAGAATTGTGGAATAATTTAAAAGAAAGGTACAATAATCAAAAAACGGTAATTTTGCCTAAAGCTCGTTATGAATGGATGCATTTGAGGTTCCAAGATTTTAAATATGTGACTGAATATAATTCAGCAATTTTCAAAATAAGTTCTCAATTGAAATTATGTGGTGAGAAAATAACAGATGAGGACTTATTAGAAAAAACATTTTCAACTTTTCATGCTTCAAATGTGCTCCTGCAGCAACAATATCGTGAAAAGGGTTTTAAGAAATATTCTGAATTGATTTCATGTCTTCTTGTGGCTGAACAAAATAACGAGCTATTAATGAAAAATCATGAGATCCGTCCCATTGGATCAGCTCCATTCCCTGAAGCGAATGTGACTGTACGTAATAATCATCATATACGTGGACGTGGTCGTGGTAGGGGATGCACAAATTACCGTTATTATGATGGGGGAAGTAACAATTATAACCCAAATACCCACCAAAAGAAGAAACTTGGTGATGGACAGAAAAAAGATAAGAATGGCCCTTCAAGAGTTGTTGAAAATCAATGTTACTGGTGTGGCATGAAAGGACATTGGTCACGTACCTGTCGTATGCCTAAGCATCTAGCAAAACTTTATCAGGCCTCTATAAAAAGAAGTTCAAATAATGTGGAAGCAAATTTGACTTTTCAAACTGATGATGTGGAGGCAAATTTTGCATACAAAAATGATGATATCAATGAGCTAGATGATGCTAATGGCCTTGATGCTATGGAACATTTGGATGTGGCTGATTTCTTTGAGAATCATGATTAGAAGAATTTGGATAATTTCAGTTTGCTTTATTTATGCTTTTTAATTTAGTTTATGTTTATTATTTCTCTTCTTTTAAGAGTATTATTAATCATGATATACTTCGAATTTATGTTAATGAATGTTTTTTGTGTGTGAAGAATATGGATGTTTCTCTTCCTTTTACTGGGCACAAGAATGAAGATATATGCTTGATAGATAGTGCTACAACACACACTATACTCAAAGATAGAAAATATTTTCTCATCTTACAATAAATAGTGCAAGCATCAATACTATAGTGGGTAATACAAAACTAATTGAAGGCTCCGGAAGAGCAATTATAATATTACCCAGAGGAACAAAATTTGTTATTAGTGATGCTTTATATTCCTCTAAGTCTCAAAGAAATTTATTAAGTTTTAAAGATATCCGCATAAATGGATATCATGTTGAGACTATAAATGAGAAGAACATTGAATATTTGCATGTTACAATGGTAAGAAATGGAGAAAAATATGTCATGGAAAAATTATCGACATTATCTTCTGGTTTGTACTATACAAATATTAGTACAATTGAAACAAATGCTACAGTAAACTAGAAGTTTACTGATAAAGATACATTTATTGTTTGGCATGACCGGTTAGGCCATCCCGAATCAGCTATGATGCGAAGAATTATTGAAAATTCACATGGACACCCATTGAAGAGCCAGAAGATTCTTCAATTTAAAGAATTTTCATGTGCTGCTTGTTCTCAAGGCAAATTAATTATAAGGCCTTCATTGACAAAAATAAGAGTTGAATCTCCTACATTTCTAGAGTGTATCCAAGGAGATATATGTGGACCTATCCATCTACCATGTAGACCATTCAAATATTTTATGGTTTTAACAGATGCATTTACAAGATGTCCCATGTTTGTTTGTTATCAACACGTAATTTAACATTTGCTAGATTACTTGCTCAAATAATTTGATTAAGAGCACAGTTTCCAAACCATGTAATTAAGACAATTCGTCTTGATAACGCTAGTGAGTTTTCATCTCAAGTTTTTAATGATTATTGCATGGCAACTGGAATAACAGTAGAAAAATCGGTTGCTTATGTCCACATTCAAAATGGCCTAACAGAGTCATTCATTAAACGCCTCCAATTGATTGCTAGACCAATGCTCTTGAGAACAAAACTTCCTATTTCAGCTTGGGGGCATGCAATTCTGCATGCAGTAGCAATTATACGCATAAGGCCAACAAGTTATCATGAATTCTCCCCGTTACAATTAACTTTTGGTCGAGAGCCAAATATTTCCTATCTTAGAATTTTTGGATGTGTGGTATTTGTCCCTATTGCTCCACCACAGCACACAAAGATGGGACCTCAAAGAAGGTTAGGGATATATGTTGGCTATGAATCTCCTTCTATAATTAAGTATTTAGAACTATTAACAGGAGATTTGTTTACAGCACGTTTTGACGATTGTCATTTTGATGAGATAATTTTTCCAATATTAGGGGGAAATAATAAGCAGCTGGATAAAGAAATTATATGGAAAGCATTATCATTATCTCATCTAGATCCTCGTACACAACAATGTGACCTTGAAGTTCAAAGAATAATCCATTTGCAAAACATTGTAAATCAATTACCAAATGCATTTACTGATCCTAAGAGAATTACTAAATCTCACATTCCAGTTGAAAATGCTCCAATTAGAATTGATGTCGCAGCAGGACAACTAGAAAGTGCAAGTGAAACCAAACCACGCCTGAAGCGGGGTAGACCAATCAGTTCCAAAGATAAAACTCCTAGAAAGAAAAAAGGAGCAAATAATCATGATGGTCATGATAGTCAAATTGAGGAGGAAAGTCCTATAGGAGAGGACCGAAACATAACTAATCAAAAGACCTCAGAGGAGACTCAGGTGCCTAAAAATAATGAAGAGATCTCAATAAGTTATGTTACTACAGGAAAAAGATGGAACTGAGAGAACACAGTTGTTGACAATATTTTTTCATATAATGTTGCTGTTGAAATAATTAATCAACATGAGGATCTTGAACCTACATCAGTTGAAGAATGTAGACATAGAGATGATTGGTCAAAATGGAAAGATGCAATTCAAGTAGAGTTAAATTTACTTTCAAAGCGTGAAGTTTTTGGACCTGTAGTCCATATACCAAATGGTGTGAAACCATTTGGATACAGATGGGTCTTCGTGCGCAAACGAAATGAGAAAAATGAGATTGTTAGATATAAAGCACGGCATGTAGCACAAGGGTTTTTACAAAGACCTGGTATTGATTATGAAGAGACATATTCTCTTGTGGTGGATGCAATCACTTTAAGATATATAATTAGTTTGGCAGTCCATAGAAAACTTGAAATGCATTTAATGGATGTTGTTACGGCATGTTTATATGGTTCTTTAGATATTGAGATTTATATAAAAATCCCTGAAGGATTTAAATTGCCGGAGGCATGTAAGAATTCTCGAGAAAATTATGCAATTCGTTTGCATAAATCCTTATATGGATTAAAACAATCTGGAAGAGTGTGGTATAACCGACTTAGTGAATATTTGTTGAAAGAAGGTTATAAAAATGATCCAATTTGCCCATTTGTTTTTATAAAAAGAAATGGATTAGAGTTTGTTATAATTGCTGTCTATGTGGATGACTTAAATATAATTGGAACTCCCGAAGAGCTTCAAAAAGCAGTTGATTGTTTAAAGAAAGAATTTGAAATGAAAGACCTTAGAAGAACAAAGTTTTTGCCTTGGCTTGCAAATTGAGCACTTGGCAAATGAAATTTTCCTCCATCAATCAACTTATACTGAAAAAGTATTAAAGCGATTTTATATGGATAAGGCACATCTATTATCTACTCCTATGGTTGTAAGATCACTGGATGAGGATAAAGATCCTTTTCGTCCTCAAGAAGATGAGGAAGAACTTCTTGATCCTGAAGTACCATATCTTAGTGCCATAGGTGCGTTAATGTATCTTGCTAATTCAACATGACCTGATATTGCATTTGTTGTTAGTTTATTGGCAAGATTTAGTTCTTTCCCAACAAGAACGCATTGGAATGGAATTAAGCATATATTTCGATATCTTCGAGGGACAATTGATATGGGATTATTTTACTCTAATGAATCAGAATCACAATTAATTGGCTATGCAGATGCAAGATTTCTATCAGATCCACATAAAGGCAAGTCTCAAACAGGATATTTATTTATTTGTGGAGGTACAGCTATCTCATGGCGTTCAACAAAACAAACTTTATCAGCTACCTCATCAAATCATGCGAAAATAATTGCAATTCATGAGGCAAGTCGAGAATGTGTTTGGATGAGGTCAGTGACTCAACATATTCAAAAAATGTGTGGTTTTTCCCTTGAACAGAAGATTCCAACAGTATTATACGAAGACAATATAGCATGCATAACTCAATTAAATGGAGGATATATCAAAGGAGACAGAACAAAACATATTTCTCTAAAGTTTTTTTTCACTCATGATCTTTTGAAAAGTGGTGATATAGATGTTCAGCAAATTCGCTCATGTGACAACCTTGCTGATTTGTTTACCAAGACACTACCGACTAGAACATTTGAGAAGTTAGTGTATGGTATTGGAATGCGCAGACTTAAAGACTTAAAATGATGTTATCATTAGGGGAAGTAAATATTATGTACTCATTTTTCCTTCACTAGGTTTTTGTCCCAATGGGTTTTTCCTAGTAAAGTTTTAATGAGGCACAATGCTTATTATGGACATCCGAGGGGGAGTGTTATGAATATTGCACGAGTGGATGTCCATAACCCCTAACCCTTAGAATTCTCATAGGATTCCTTACCTTCAAGTTTCATAAACTACATAACCTCCCTAATGAATGACTTGGGAGGAGTTTCTCATTGTTAATGCCATTATGATGTTCTTTATTCCTTTGTAACATTAGTATAGGACTTCAATGCTTGGACGCCTATAAATAGAGGGCATGCATGAGACATTTGTACCTTAAACCAAAGTGAATGAGAAAAGGCCATTGTCTTCTCTATCTCTTGCTATTCTTCATTCTTCTTATTTCTTGTAGTTTTACAATAATTTTTTTTTAAAAAAAAACTTTTTAAATTTACTCTATCGTAAATCTCTTAAACACTAGATGAAAATTTCTGAACTATAACATCAATTTTTCGTAGCTCTTCAATCTATTGTAGATCAATTTAGTTCTCTTGTTTCAACCTTTCAGTCACTCGTACTTTATACATTTTTCATTTCTACTAAACAGTCTTTTCTAAGTTTTATTATCACACAAGTTTTTATACAATATTTCAATTTAGTTTCTTAATTTTTTTCCAAAAATATATTTTTATCTTAAAATTATTAGTTTTAGATGATGATTTTTTTTATGATAATCACAGTTATTTTGAAAATTAAATTTAATATGTTAACATTTGAGAATGTTTTGTCAATGTTTAAGATCTCAATGTTATTTTTTTTGTTAATGATTCGAAAATTAAAGGAATACAAATATATTTCTTAAAGTTAATAAAATAAACTAAAACTTTGCATAAAATTAAAATCATACTTTTACTTTATTTTAATTAAAAGTTGATACCCTTCCTCATGCTTCATATGAAGTCTATAGAATAATTCATATATTTTTCTTAAAAATATTGTCATAAGATCCCACCTACAAGAATTAAATATAAAAAGGTCTATTAAAATCATCAAATTATTCTAAATTCTTAAGGAACCTCATTACGAGAAATTTTATTTATTTAATTATCAAATTGCCTTTTTTTTAGTTATGCATTGATAACTAAATAAGCAGTCGTTAACAACCTAAGGTGTAATGATTAACAATTATCGCAACAGATATTAACAACATATTTTCTTAGCTCATCATAAAAAATATAATGCATGAGTTGTCAATATCTATCACGATAGTTGTTAATTGCTACACTTTAAATTATTAACGATTGCACTTTCAGTTGTCAATACATACTTTAGA